CCCCGTCAGAGTCAGACTCTAGATTTTGATTATAAAACTTGGGCTGGGCCAGAAGGTATTGCCAGGCATTCATTACCTTGCTTATTTTCAAACTATCCCTCACCTTCCTGTCTTGGTTGTTGTTTGACCTGAGAGATGAACACTGCTGTCTCCTGTCATCGGTCTTTCTGCTTCATCTGCACCAGGCCAGGCCTGGCGGCAGTGCCCAGTGGTCACTAGGGACAGCCTTGAGGTTACTCATTCTGAGAAGCCCTGGCACAGCCTGCCCCATGGGAAAAAGACAGCCCTCGGAATGCCAGGTTTGGTCTGAGTGGGGTGGGGAAGGACCCTGGGGTATCACACTCACATCACAGCCAGTGCCATGCCGCTCACAAAGTCAGTCAGTTTGGTTTTGTTTGCATTTTTTAACCGGAACCTTGAGAAAAAGAAAGGAAATTTATGTTCTAGGGGGTAAAAATAGGCAGATACGGCAGCTCTGCGGCCACACAATTCAGATGCTGCGGTGATGACCTGGGGGTTTATTAATCTATAGGATGGAGGTCGCCTGTTCAGTTCTTTTGAAAGAAGCCCAGCCTGAAGAAGAAACCCTGGCCCAGCTTCTACACGAGGTGAGGGGAGCAGCTCTGGAGCTTTGTGGATGTAGCCTCCAGAGAACTGAGGGAGCAAGAAGTCTGCCTCCATTCCGGGTGCACAAGATTTTCACCCAGAGAGTTTGGTTTGAATTGCAAGTTCTCAGTTTTGCAGATCAGGTGAAGTGGAACTTTCTACCCGCCCCCAGAGTCAAGGCCCAGCGTCTGGGCCTCCGGCTTGTCCCTCACAAGCTCCCTCGTGTGCTTTCTCCTCCTCTTGGCTACAGCTAGTGAGTGGTGGGAATAACAGGCAGGACTTCGTTAGTGTTATTCTCTACCCATGACACATATTTTAATTGTCAGTGCTGCACATCGGGTGGCAGTGGGGGAGAGCCGGTAGCTCTTGAAAATTGCCAAGTGGCAGAGGAGAAGTTACAGAAGAATCTCTTGATGTTCCATGCTGTTCGTGTCCGGTAATGCAGAGTGACACCCCAACTAGAAGAAAATTCTAGACTTTATTAAAATTGACTAATTCTTCCAAAGGCAGCAGCCAAGGGAAGACTTAGGGCAGACGGGGAGGGGAGGAGGTCACGCACCGCAGGACAGGGAGCCCTTTGCTCCCATCTCCCTTCTGCTCAGCCCCTGCTCAGTCCCTCTGCCCTGAGATGATTCCTTGCAGATAGCAATCAGCTAGAAGGAAGTGTGTGTGTCTAATTTGCATGAGATTATTTAAAACAAAAAAAAAAAGGTCTGCATTAGTCAGGGTGATGGTAAACAACGCAGAAATGCCTTTTATAATATAGTGTGTGCCTCAGCTTTCAGAGCCAAATATAATTCACTTACAATTGGCAGTTTCCTTTATTATTCTTTTTAACCTTTTGGATTCTGCAAGGACTCAGTCTAAGATCTGCACTCTTTATCTCGGCAGGGCTGGGAAAGATGGAGTGAGGGCATCTGGATGTCTTCTGTGTGTGTCCTGTGGCAACACCATGTCCTGAAGGCAGGGTCATCTCAGCACCAAGAGCCGATGAATGGGTAGATAATAGGTTGTGATCTCTCAAGAGGTCAGTGACCCCTGTTTAGTCTCCGTGAGTCCCACACGAATCTCCTGAGCCCTGCCCAGTCAGTTCTATCTCAGCTGAGGACACTCCATTGGAAGAGGATGCTTAGGGATGTGTAGGTGCCATTCTGTGAGAGGTGTTTGGATTTCATTCGGGTTAGAATGTTAGAACAAGACTAGGACAAGGACATTTTACCTTGTCACTCTAGGATTATTCAAAAGTTGTCCGGGTGTCATTGCAGACAGGAGCCAGGGAGTAAGTTCCTGTGTTATTTCAATATTGCCTCCAGGCTCGGCGCCCGTAGCACAGTGGTTATGGCCCCAGCCACGTACGCCCATGCTGGCAGGTTCGAACCTGGCCCGGGCTAGCTAACCAACAATGACAACTGCAACAACAAAGAAAAATAGCTGGGCGTTGTAGCGGGCGCCTGTAGTCCCAGCTACTTGGGAGGCTGAGGCAAGAGAATCGCTTAAGCCCAAGAGTTTGAAGTTGTTAGGAGCTGTGATGCCACAGCACTGTACTGAAGGCGACACAGTGAGACACTGTCTCAAAAAAAAAAAAAAAAAGAAAAAAGAAAAAATATCCCCTCAAAACAATTTTCTTTGGCTCTTGAGAGCATCTAGGCTGGGGATGGGAGAAGAAAATTTAATCCTTCTCTAAAGCTCTTTATTGAGGTTGAAGACTGAAAACGTAAGTTCTGAATCTTGTCGTGTGTTTTATAACTCTTTGGTAAAGTGGAAAGTCACCAGGCCAGAGGAAGAGCCTTGGGTTGTCATCAGCATTACCATTCTCTTGGACCAGCAGGGCATGGGCTACCTGCGTTTTTAATCGGTTAAATGAGGGCAATGACTGGGATGATGGTCCAGCTCTGAAATTTTATTATTCAGTGAGATTGTTAGAATGCTCTTTTTAAAAAATAAAAAAAGAAGAGGAAGAAGTGTTCATTTATTGTAACTAAATCCAAATCCCGACTCTACTAGGGAACAAGTGCTATCAGAATTCCAGCCAGTGTAAATTTAGAGCATCAAATGATAAGGTCTCTGCAAAACAAGCGCTTGGAAGAAGTGCTGATGCCCTTTAAACTGTGGCCTCACCAGTGGGCTCAGCTGTGATAATGCAAGGAATATGTTTTATTAGGAAAATAGGCTTTGTAAAAGCTCAGGGCCAGAGGGCGGAACAACAGGCAGGGAGTCCTGTCCCTTTAACCAGCTCCGGCTCTCAGGGCCGCAGCACAGCCTGTAACTTACTGTATATTTCCCCAGTGTTAAACATTACCGTACTTGTTTATATTTGAAAGAGCCAAAAGGGAAAATGAGAATGCAACTGAATGCTCCTTTTGGGAAAATTATCCTCATTTGCAGCCAGCGGCTGACAAGGCACACGAACCACCAGGTTTATAAAATTCCATAGTGTCCCAGTGACCATCAGCCTGTGCTGACATCGCAGATGCCTCTCGCTTCTCTAATGGCTGATTATGAACTGGTTAAAAGAATGTCTTTCTTGCTAAGACTCTGAAAGGGGTCCCCTTCCTATTTAGTAGGAGCAGTTGAAGTCACCATGCGGGCCAGAGCCCGAGAGACACAGACTGGGGGAGCGTGTTCTAGGTTTCTGCCTGGCTAGCCGGGTATCCCGTCTGTTCTTGGAGGTGAGATGGTGGGTAAAGCAATCCCTTTGCAGCAAGCTGGGGAGTCAGGGAGCAGCAACATACCCTGTCTATTGCTACATCACTGAACTTGCGCTTTTGCTTTTGGAAGGTGGTGAGTGCCAGTAAGTGATCCACCTTGAACCCTGGAAACATCTTCATCCACCCACCAGTCTGCGGAGAGCGGGGTGCCACCTTCCAGACTCCCCAGTGGTGTAACCTTGCTGCCTCTGGCCAGCTCTGCTGTGAGAAGAGGCGAAAGGGAGGAAGAGCTGCAGTTTTAAATGGGGACAGACCTTAACTGCTGAGGGCAGAGAAGGAAAGAAGGGGTCCAGGGCCATTTAGACTAGCTGGGGCATTCTCCCTTGAGCGGTTGTGGTAGGACACACCAAGTTCAGCTCACGCGTTGGTACGGTGCAGGGCAGAGCTGCACTCTAAAGCATTAATGGGCACCATCTATTAGCCCCTAGGCACGGAGTAGGAGGCCCCATGCTTTTGAAGATGCTGATCCTCAGAACCTCCTTGTACTTCATCTACCCCCAGGGGCAAATATACCATGCTGTGGGCCTCTAATGGAGAGCTGCCGACCAGATGTGGAAAAGCTCTCGGCTCTAGTTTAAAAGGTCTGTGTTGCGGCTCGACTGGATGTTGGGATTCCCGGAACAGCATGGACTGGCCGAGTGGTCTTTTGCAGAGTAGCAGTGACCTCCCAGCCTCCTTTCCTACCCTTGGCAGCTAGAGCGCCTCTGTGCACACTGCTGCTTTCCCGAGTTGCCCCGGGACAGTTCTTCTCATACCTGGGCACTACACTTCACTCCTATATTTTGGGTTGATCGGTGCCTTCCTCTTCCAAGACTCAGTGTCCCTAGTCGGCCTCAAACCCGTTGAACGTATCCCAGCTGTGTGCCCGCTGGAAATGTGGTCTCCATGGGGTTTTCACTTGCCTTTTATTCTTCCATGGGCAAATCCTCTCCACATGTTATAGCCACTGCAGATGGCGCCCTGCTATTTCCTGATGTCCCCTGTGCTTTGTGGTTTAGTGTTGGAAGGATTAAAAAAAGAAAAAAGGGAAAAGAAAAACTAGCCAAAGGCGATATAGGCAGCCTATGATAGGCTGGAGTAATAACCATCTGAAAGTTTGGGCCTGGCCTTGTTTTGATCTGTTTTCTTGTTTTATTTTCTTCTTCACATTCTATATCCCATTCATACTAATCACAGTCGGTCCTGATTTTTCCTTTTATTTCTGCATTTGTCATAAAATAAAGCAAATTATTCCCGTCTTCGGAAACGATCTAGACTAATTAGTCGTCTCACCCAATAATTAGTTTTTTGTTTCCCTGTCTGTTTTCATGCATTATTGTTAGTTTTTTCCCCTCTTTTTTTAACACCATTACAGATTAAAATGAGCCACATTTGCAGTTGATGGTATCTGTTTTCAGGGGAAGAATGGAGAATTGCAGTACCGAGCGACTTCAAAAGCAGCAATAAACTCAAGGATAAATTAAGGAAATTGAATGAGCCACATTTGGAAGCAGTGTTGAGGCTAATATTCTGTCGCTTAAGGTTAAATTGCAACTGAGAGAGGTTCGGGAGAATCCGAAATCGGGAAGGCAACTTCCTAGGATGCTAGGCATTCTGTGTGAGGGGCCTTTTCTCAGTGAAGATTTTGTTGCAGCCATGGACATTGGCAAAAAGTACTTACCTGCAATTATGTCCATTTCTTCCCAGGCTTGACAGATGAAGAGATTGATTTGGCTTTCCAGCAGTCGGGCACTGCGGCTGATGAGCCTTCGTCCTTGGGCCCAGCCACACAGGTGGTTCCCGTCCAGCCCCCTCACCTCATTTCTCAGCCATACAGTAAGTCAGCCGCTCAAACTCCAACTTAACCTTGGTTGGGATTCAGGACTCTGGCCAAAGATGAGTGTTTTTCATCTCCCAGACTTGCCAACCTGGAGTAAACTGAAAGCAGTAGAAAAAGCTCTCTGGTTTTCCCTAAAGAATGTGACACACTCAGATCTTATAAACACTTTTAACGAAGTGACAAAGGTGTAAGAAGAGACGAGGGACCAGAACACATGAGTTTGTTGGGTTGTTGTAAGTATTTTGGTTATGTTTCCATTTTCTTGTGAGTGCTTTCTTTTGAATGTTACTGTTTCACTAATAACAACATGAACACCTTCTGACTCAGGACTACATTCTTGTTTGCACACTGAAATAACTTGTCTTCTAATTTTATTTTTTAAAGTTAATATTTGTAGGTTTTAGCCAGCCTTTCTTTCCTTCCCTCCCTTATCCTGGCTGTGCCATGTATATTCATGCAGTAGCCGTCTGTTAAGCATTTCAGGTTAAAATGTAAAGGTTCTTTTTGAATGCTTAATTTAATTATTATGTGAGATCATGACCCACAAGAGGTTTTTGTAGTTTTTAAATGAAAGCTACTATAGGAATAAACTTTCTTCACTCTGGTAATAAACCTCTGTCTCAAATACAGCTAGAATCTCTTCTTTAAGTTATGTATAAAAAGTCTAAAAAGGTTAAAATTGGCTCCAAAGCTATGGAAAATTGCTCAATTTTGTTTTCTTTAATGTAACACAGCACTGGATCTATTGTCTTTCAAAATGCCTTTTCTATAATTATCTTCATTTTAATTGTCTATCTCAGAAGTTTTATTTTTTCAAAAAATGATGTAAAACAGTGTGAGAGTTCAGATTTTAAAGGGTTTATTTTAAAACAACAGATTTCTCTGGGATCCCACAACATGAAGTGTGAAGTGGCTTCTTCCTCTCACAACCCTTTGTTCTCAGTTGGCTCCGTTGTAGCAGCAGGACAGGAGTGATCAACACGGCAGGCAGAGCCAGCGAGGCCTCTCTTGCCTGTACTTGGAGGGGTAGCCAGTGGGTTAGAATCTGCTTGGTGTGTCATGGATCTCAGTTAGATATCTGCTTCTCCTTCTTCTTCTTCTTTTTTTTTTTTTTTTTTTGCAGTTTTGGGCCAGGGCCGGGTTTGAACCCACCATCTCCAGTATATGGGGTCAGTGCCCTACAGATATCTCCTTTTGCCCTCTGGATGAGGCTGAAGAGGTGAGGCCAGGGAGCACTTAACTCAAGTGTTAGTACCTTCCTAACCAGCCTCTCTGGGGAGCAGAGCTTCACTGGCCAGCACTGGACTGTTTTGGGGTTGTTGGGTCAGATATGTGACTTCAGCTTAGACCCATTTCTCCTCCCCAGCCAGCATTCTTTCCAATCAGTTGGGTTTGCTTTGGGTCTTAAACCTACTTACATGTTTCTTTTTAACCAACGGCTAAGTCTCTACACTGTTTCTTTCTTTCTTTCTTTCTTTTTTTTGAGACAGAACTTCAAGCTGTCACCCTGGGTAGAGTGCTGTGGCATCGCTGCTCACAGCAACCTCCAACTCCTGGGCCCAAGCGATTCTCCTGCCTCCGCCTCCCAAGTAGCTGGGACCACAGGCGCCTGCCACAACGCCTGGCTATTTTTTGGTTGCAGCTGTCATTGTTGTTTGGCAGGCCCAGGCTGGATTCAAACCCACCACCTTAGGTGTATGTGGCTGGCGCCTTAGCCACTTGAGCCACAGGCGCCAAGCCTACACTGTTTCTTTAGTTGTGTCCCTGGGCCCCGCCATGTAATGGGATTTGTTGAGGATAGGCAGTGGCAGCTGGGGTGTAGTATTTCCTAAGATGCACATCTGTTCTATTCCAGCTGTTTCCTCCCATGTCTTAATACCAAACAGGTCTTTCGTCTACTTGGAAGCTTCTTGCTCAGACAAATTATTCTGGTTGGTCACAGAGTTGGCCTAAGATGCCACATGTTTACCTCCTTTCTATAGGCAAAAAGGGTTAAACTGTTATTCCTTCTGAAAGAGGCAAAAAAAAAAAAAAATGGGGTGGGCTGGGAAGGGCAATTCAGTCATTTAATCCATTCTCGTGTCCAGAAAACTCTGAGAAAAAGCATTACATGCTGAGGTATTTAGGTAGGAGTATTTTTAAGAGTTTCCCAACCCTAAAAATAAAATACATCTTCTTAGAGACAGACTTCTTCCTGCTTTGACACTAGTATAAAAACAATGATAATGGTAATTTTAAATACCTGAAGTTTTTAGTTGTCACCGTTGAGCTTCGTTCTCCTTGTACTGTTACATTGCTCCTTTCAGCTACGGGGGCGACCACCTCTTCACTTCTGTACTTTTGCCAAGAGGTGTCAAAACTGCTTAAAAAAAAAAAAAAGCTTGATTTTGATTAATACAGAGAAACAAGACTTTGCCTGACTGATAATAAAACTGATAAATGACATTTGAATTACTTGTAGCGGTAATTTATTACATAAAATATCTTTTATTTGACATGCGATTAGTTGCTAGAAGCATCACTCAATCTGACTAGTTTAAACATGCTCTAAAATGAACCCCAGTAAAAACCAGGGCTGTCTGCTGCTGGCGTTATGAAATATACTAATCCTGGAGTGAGGAAAAAATCTGACTTTAAATATTTAAATGATTAATTGGGTTTATATATTTTTTTTACCTTTCTAACCCCCTTAATTACAAGCAAACTCAGGGGAGTTTCTGAACTAGGTGTGCAATCTGCATGCTTATCACTGAGGCATTGTCTGCGTCGGGGAGGGATTTATGGCCTCCATTCATGTGGGTTCCTGCCGATTTTAACGTCTAGATCCCGGCAGCCTTTCTCTCCCATTTCTTGGCTTTTTAAGACATTCTATCTCTGAGCCCACGCCTAGAAAATGGATTTCTGTGGGCTCGTCCCTGTGTGCTTCCATCTCAGGATAGGGCGGCTTTTCTGAGACCACCCCATGGAGCCCAGTGCTCACAGAGTGTCACCTCTGGACTTGGTGGCTCAGTGGCAGACGTGCCACTGGGTGCATCTCTTAATGTTTCTGCTCCTTGGTGAACATGGTTGACCTTGAGATGTTAGTAAATGCTAGTGTCAGCAAAGAGAACGCGGCACCTGCCAGAGTGGTACCACTTTGATTCTTCGTGTTTGTTAAGCACTGAATGCCCAGGACTGTATCACATGAAAGACACACTTAAAGAATCTTGCCCATTCTTTGGGAAACATAAGATAAACTCTTATGAAAAGAATAACGTAAGACATTGTGGTTTAATGCCAAAATTAATTATACAGACAAGAAATTCTATAAGAATACAGAAAAGAGAAAAATTAATGTGGGCTGGAGAAGTCAGGGAAGGCTTTTGTGAAAGTAGTGGGAGGTTGACACCAAGGGGGAAGCTTCGTGTCACCTGGTGTAAGCGCAAACCAGTGTTCTCTGGGCTTAAAAGAAAGTTGGTAGAATTCATGAAAAGACACGCTGTGGTTGGGGAAGGGATTTGACATTCTGTTTCCTATTCTGGTTTCTTTTTGTTTGACTTTGAGTTGAGGACTAGCATGTGTGTGTATGTGCAGGCCTGGCATAGTCCCGAGCTTAGTTTAGGGTCCTGATAAGTGCGGGATTGACTGACTTGTCTTCTTTCCTTCCAGGAAAACACAAAAGTGTAATCAGGGCCAGTAAAATTTTCTGGATAATAATATTTTCTTAGGCTTAAACCTTTCCCCCCACTGTCTTTAATAAACAATTTAAGTCCCTTCAAAGACTGACCTGTAGCTTCAGGTGCTTCTTCTTAAAATAGGATGTCAGTGTCTGAGGCTCGTGGAAGGCTTTGAAGCCTTTGGAGATCCTGAGAGGGACAGAGTTGTCAGTCTGTTTTTTTGTAGCCCTGCTTGGTAGCAGGTGCCTCTTGCTGGCTCCCTTAATTCACCAGGCAGCAGCTGAACTGGACACCTGAGGTGTGCCAGGCCCTGTGCAGGACCCTCGATAAAGAGATTAACGAGGTCTCCAGTTGCTCCTGTCTGGGAGGAAAGGCAGTTAAGCAAACACAGCAGTGCCTGTGAGGTGCACCCAGGTGAGTAAGGTGGCACCAGCTGGGAAGGGAAGCTTCAGAGAGCAGATGTTCAAGTGGGTCTGGGGGAATGATTGGTTCAGCCATCAGGCGGGATGGACAAGGAGTGTTCCAGGCTAACATGATGAGCTTAAGACACTCTGGGTCATGCAGAGCAGGTGCACCGTGGGCTGGGAGTGTCAGAAGAGACAGCTGGAGCAGGGTGGCCTGGTCACCCTGACAGAGGACAGCTAAAAGCACAGTGATGCTTCACTTTGAAATGTATTATCTAGTTATTTTTGAGGCCATATCACCTAGTTGGCCGTATTATTCTCAGACTGATAGTGACATTATTTCTATCATCTAAGCAGAAGCCACATGGGGAATCAGGGAGGACATCCTGGAGGGTATTTGCCTGAGGCATTTGTCCCCATGTTCCCTGTTACCTTTGTGTGGCCAGCTGGTCGCTGCTCTTCAAGTTGGGGCCAGCGTCAATAGCACCAGGCAGTCTTCACAAGTTCCCGTTGGCCCTCTCAGTGCCCTGCTCCCCCCACACCACACCAAAACATTTACTTCACCTATTATGAGTTCTGAGCCTTTTTTGTTTTAATCTGATGGCCCGAGGCTCTGATGGAGCAGGTGTTCTAGCAGTGCTCTGGGCATGGCTAAATGTGGTGGTTTATCCTTTGCCAGGCTGCCATGGAATAGCATTGAGCTGGCCTGGTGGCCAGCAGTGAGACGGCCCCCATGCACGGCCTGTGCGGGCTGCTCTGGGCAGACTGTGGAAGCAGTAGGGGCAGGCCTTGCTTCTAGGAGTCACTGTTTGTCATAGAGGGTTGCCCAGTGCCTGGGGAAGGACAGAGGAGACTCACTGTGTACCCTGTTTTGGTGGGCATGTTGAGAGTTTTCAGAGTCTGGAAACCCAGGAAACTCCCAGAATGCTAGTCTCA